GCCGAGCCCCGTAGGACTGTCCTCGTCGCGGTTCAGCCTCAGAACCGGACGTGGGGAAGGAAGAGGAGGCCGGGCGAAGTCCTCTGCCGGCCCCCTGGTACCGGGCATCCTGCCAGGCCCTGGCTCCGGGGAAGGGACTTGGAAATATTTGGGGAAGATCCGACCACCAGGTGCCCGCACTCCGTATGGGCGCTCTGCACGGATTTACCCGTCGGGCCGGAGCTGGTGCCCTCCAGAGCGGGACTCGGAAAGATTGGGGGTCCAGTCCTCCGGAGACGCCCTCCCGGCCCATCCCGCGGGCAGAGCAGCTCTTTGCCTCTGGAGTGGTAACGGGAGAAACTCGGAGGCGCCTCCGACAACCGGACCGCGTCCGGGACGGCGTCCGGGCGCGGGAATCCTCTCCCGTTACCCCCGGTCGGTCCCGCGGGGGTACAGGCACCGGCGGGTGCTGGTCCACCCGCCCCAGCAGCCTGTAGGGACAGCGGCAATGGACACCCCCTCGTGTCCCTGCGCGTTTAATCTCGGCGAACAGATGACGCGCCGTCGCCGCGGCACCACGGACGATCCCGTTTGCGCCATCGGCCTCCCGAATGTCCACGTTGGGCACCGCGGCCGCGTCCGGTCCATTGCAGATTTCGCTGGAGCTCCCGAGGGAAGACGCTACCTAAACGAGGCCACCAGATGGCGCCCGAGGACCAGCACGAAAGTCCGCAGGATGGACCTGACCGCGGGCCGGCGAGGTTCGCACCGAGGCCGCCCAGACGCCGCATCTCGTCGCAGCCCACCCACGATCGCGTCTCTTGTCCCCGGGCAGGTGGATGGGGCGTTCGCCCCGAAGCTCCCGGGCGGCAGGACACGACCCCGGCAGCAGAAGGGAAACTTGAAAATGTGTTCAGGCTGCTGCCGGGAAGGGGACAGACTCCCCCGCACGCGCTGACCTTTTCCGGAGTCTGGAGAGGACTTGCAATTCCCCCCGAGACGCCGGCCGGCCAGGAGCCGGTCCCCGCTTCCCAGAGCTGTTCTCTGCTCCAGGCTGGATTTCGTCAATTTTTCAGGGACTCGGCTGTAAAACGGAAGTCTTGAAAGTACTCGTAGAAACATGGATGAATCATTTTTATTTATCATTTCAGGAGAAGGTCTTTCTAAAGCATAAAACAAAGCCCAAAAACAAAGCCCAATGACTGATCAACGTGACCAAATTTTAAACAAAATTGATCTTGGCGTATACCAAAGGCAAAGTCAAATGGCAACAGATGAGGAACGTTTATGCCAATGCACGTGTAATATGATTATCAATTTCAGCATTGCTTGGTATAATACTAGAAAACGGGAAAAATAATCGTCATTAAGAGGGACCAGTTTAAATAAATCCCAGTACATCAATACAATGCAACACTATGAATTGGTTCATACGTAAGGCCAGGTCAATGGGTCAATGGAGACACACAAGAGAAACTTCAAATACTGAATCAAGCAGTTCACTTAAATAGCCACCAGGTGGTGCTGGTGACTCAGTAACATTGTTTAGCCCCCAACCCCCAGCAAAGTGAATTTTGCTTAAGATTATATTTTGCAACTTTCTTAGGCCCCTAAAATGTATAGCCATGGATTTTATATAGCTCCTTATATAAAACTTTCAACTCATTATTAAAGCATAAGCTTTTTATAAAGGTGTTTTTTTACAGCAAAATTGAAATAAAACAGTTTGAATATATTCAATTTGCAAAATTCATTGGAAAAAACATTTATTGGGTACTTACTATGTTGTGTCAGGAAGAAAGCATGGATAAGACATGGCAATCACAATAGAAATGATTTACGAAAATATAAACAAGTGATTTCAATATAATAAATCACTAGAATGTTAGCACAAGTATTTGTTTTGTTTTGTTTTGTTTACAACACCTGGAATATAGTAGGAGTACAATAAAGCAGTTATTGAGTAAATGAAGTATTTGATTAATTAATGATTAAACATGCTTATAGAAAGTGTTATGAACATAGTTTTTTATGTTCTCTAGTTTTATTTATTTTTAAAATAAGTTTTTATTTTTCTACAGTTGACATACAATATTATATTTGTTTTGGGTGTACAACAGAGTAATTAGACATTTGTATATCTTATGAAGTGATCACCCAGTTTTATAGTACCCGTCTGGACACCATACATAGTTATTGCAACATTATTGACTATATTCCCTATGCTGTACTTTAAATTTAGGATAAATTAGGTTGCTGCCATATATTGGGTATCCTATATAATAAAAGAGTAGTATGTAAATTGTCCCCTCAACCGGGAGTTATCCAGGAGTTCGACCAGGAGGTGGAGCCAGCCTGGGGGAAGAGAGGGAGTACCCGGCTGACAGCTGGCAGCTGCTAGGGACCCTACCAGTGCACGAATTTCATGCACTGGGCCTCTAGTTATAAATAATGCTGCAATAAACATATGCACATGTCTTTTCAAATTAGTGTTTTGGGTTTCTTCTGTTAAGTACCCAGAAGTGAAAATGCTGGGTCCTTCTTCATTTCCTCGTTATAGCCTTTGTTTTAAAGTCCATTTTGTGTGATATAAGTATTGCTACCCCATCTTTTTTTCCTGTTTGCATTTTTAGGAAATATCTTTTTCCATCCCTTTCCTTTCAGTCTGTGTGTCTTTTGATCTGACGTGAGTCTCCTGTAGGCACCATATGTAAGGGTCTTGTTTTCTTGCCCTTTAGCCACCCTGTGTCTTTTTCAGGGGGACATGGCTTTATTGCTTACACTGCAGATTCAAATTAATACAATAACAGCCCCCACTTTTTTAGTGAGGCACAGGAAAAGCCTTCTGAGTTTTATCGTTTCAGACCTTTGATGACAAAGGGGCTGCTTTCCAATAGATTCAACCCAGCATTTCATTAAGTCAGATTTATGCTCCATCTCTACTCACCCCACTGCCAATATAGGATGAACATAAGGAAACTTATTCTTGGGCTTTACTGCATTTCCTTAATAATTGTTCCTTTCCACTCATACACTTATTCTGATTTATTTCTTGTCCATACTCATTTGTACCAATAGCAATTGTTTTTCATTTTCTTTTATTTTTATTGACTTCAGAGATGAAGGGAGAGGGATAGAGATAGAAACATCAATGATGAGAGAGAATCATTGATCGGCTGCCTCCTGTACGTCCCCCACTGGGGATCAAGCCCACAACCTGGGCATGTGCCCTGACTGGGAATTGATGCTCAACCACTGAGCCATGCCCAGCTGGGGGGTAATTGTTTTTTTAAAAAATATCTGTATCAAACTATATTTACTCTTATCCTTCCTCATTCTTGACTTACTCCTAATCTCCCAAGATTCCCACATGCCTGGACACAGACAGACCTCTGGAGGGTAGGGTCCAGCTGAGTGTAAGGAGAGAGGGCTGACTCGAAGTGGTTCAGTATGGCATTAGCACAATTCCAATGAGTTAATATATGCAAGGTGCTGCAAACAGTGCCCAAGGGTATAACATATGCTCGGTAATTGTTAAACCTTATCATCATAGTCTGCAGCCCTGGGCAAACTACGGCCCTCGGGCCGGCCCGTTTGAAATGAATAAAACTAAAAAAAAAAAAAAAGACCGTACCCTTTTATGTAATGATGTTTACTTTGAATTTATATTAGTTCACACAAACACTTCATCCATGCATCCGTCCGGTCCAGTTTAAGAACCCATTGTGGCCCTCAAGTCAAAAAGTTTGCCCATCCCTGGTCTAGGGATAATCCACCTTCACACATCTTTAGCGTATTTGGGGGGAAATTAAGGTTTGTCTCCTGTCTCCTCCTTAGTCACTTCCACGCTGCAGGTGCTCCCGGGCTGCTCTCAGCTCCATCTCTGCATGTCTTGCTTCTGACCGAGACTTGGGACACGCGAACTTCCTTTCTTCTCAGTGCGATGTCACTACTCCCACATGGATGCCAGCAGAGCAGCGAATGTGAGAAAACCCTTACTTCTCTTTGCTGCCTGGTTTCTCATACCAAGACACGCTTGGAAACTAGGCTAAGTTGTGGAAGAGTTGGGGAAATAGCAGCAACGCAAAATATGTAGACTCGGTACTTTACACGACCCTCCCCACAGCCAAGAGAAAAGTGTGAAACGCTTCTGACAGGTTCTCCTCAAGGACACCCCACGTTCCAGCCTCTGCTCAGCGAGTGCCCCATTCTTCTGGCTTCATCCTGAGTCTTCACCCGCCGCCTCTCCACAGGGGTTGGTCTGGCCCGAGGTTCACCTTCCTGCCTGTGCTCAGGGCAGTTTCTGGGGAGGTATTCCTCAAAATCCAAGCTATTCCATCAAGAATAGCAGCACCTTCAACCGAGTAGTTCAGAGTGGTTTCTGGACTCGAATTCTGGGTCCTTCCAAGTCTTCCCGCAAGTTGAGAGTGTAATATGACTTTTCTTTCTTCCTGATTCATTAATAATTAACTGTCACACACACACACACACACACACACACACACACACACACACACACACGCTCTTAGAGACGATAAAGTCTAAAAGGTACTTTAAAGGATAGAAGAATTTTCCCAAACCCTCCCTAATGCACACAGATCTCCAGGGCAGAACAGAGGCAGCAGTGAACATAGTCATGTGCGCCCATGGAGCCCCTCCTTTGTTCTTCTTTTGCTTTTAGCCTCAGCACCCAGAGCCCAAGGAACTGACCCAGTTAGAAGACCGCCTACCCCTTGGTTACTATTCCAAGGCCTAAGAGTTCTGGAACTTGGAAATGAAATATTTTCGTTTTGATTTATCTTTACAGTTCAGACTATGTGAAGAACTCTCGGGGGAAGCCTTCTCTTGCATGCACATTTATGTATATGAAAGAGACAATGTATGATCTTCCTAGCCAAGCAATCTTTCTGCGGACTGGAAGACTATCTTACCTATGGCCCCAAGGTATCTACGTTTGGTCTTTGCTAAGGCTGCTCCTATAGAAAAAAAACAAACAAATTCACTCTCTTGGACCCTCATACCACCATTTGCTCCATCTCCCAGCTGGACATGTCACTGGCAAGAACCCAGTTAGCCTACCGAGAAAAGGATGGAATGTGTGGGGCCTCATCTTATTAATCTCTTGGGCCTACTATAGAGTCAAGTCAATTATAACCACTTAATCAATGCTAAATTCATACAATGGGCCAGTTTAAGTAGTACAACACAGTATAATCCCCAAGAAGAGTATAAGTAAGACGTTTCCAATTTTTAAAGTGGGGAGAAGACCCTAACAGAGAAACAAGATGAAAATCTCCCCACCTGTCGATACAAAGATACTGTGATGCTTCTCAGTAATTCACTGATACAAACAGAACCATCAGAAAAGCACTCTTTTCAGGGTTTTGCCCAGGGCAAGTTTAACATCCTTATTCCTCAAACTGTAGATCAAAGGGTTAAGCATGGGCACGACGTTCGTGTAGAAGACTGAAGCATATTTACTCCGGCCCACAGATCCCGGAAAAGAGGTTGTTAAGTAGGTGAAGGCCCCTGACCCGAAAAACAGAGCCACGGCGGTGATGTGGGAGCCACATGTGCCAAAGGCTTTGGACCTTCCCTCAGCAGAAGGAATGCGGAGGATACTGGAGAGAATCAAAGCATAAGAGACGAAGATGCTGATACTGGATGTTGCAATGACCATTCCAACAACAATAGAAAACACCAGCTCGTTGACATGGGTGCTGGTGCAGGAGAGCTGCAAGAGGGGGAGAACTTCACACAGATAGTGGTCGATGATGTTGGAACCACAGAAGGTCAGTCTCAGCATGTTTCCGGTGTGGGCCATGGCCCCAGCAAACCCTACCGCATACGAACCCAACATCAGCAGAGCACAGACCTGGGGGGACATGGTGACCGTGTACAGCAGAGGATTGCAGATAGCCGCATAGCGATCGTAGGCCATGGATACCAGCACGTAGCACTCAGAATTGACCAAGAAGCAGAAGAAAAACAGTTGAGTCATGCATCCTGCGTAAGAGATGATATTTTCTGACACGAAGTCGTGCAGCATTTTGGGAGTAAAGACACAAGAATAACAGAGATCTATCGAAGACAAGTTGAAGAGGAAAAAATACATGGGAGTGTGAAGGCGAGAATTCAGACCAATTAAGGTGATCAAGCCCAAGTTGCCCACCACAGTAAGCACATAGAGCCCTAAGAACAGGAAGAAGAGGGGGACATGGACCTCTGACTGTTCTGAGAATCCCCCAAAGATAAATTCAGTCACCGAGGAGCTGTTTCTCAGAACCATTCTCTTCTGGGGAGCTGTCTGTGGGAACAAGGGGTAAAATACAATAGATTGGTGATAGGCACAAGCATGGATGATAGGAGAGATGAGACCATGTATAGACGCCCTCCCTTTTGTCTTTCTCCTTGTAACTGTGGAACCAGCTCAGAATGGTTCTGTTCTGTTTGATGAGGTGTTCAGTTGCTTTTCAGAGACAACAGACCAAAACCACAAGTCATGCAGGTGAAGCATGCGCAGATGAGAGAACTTGGGCCCCAGCTGCACCTGGAACCAAAATCTTGCACGTCCCTCTCCCCGACCCCACCCCCATGGGACCAAAGGACCAGGACATAACCGGAACTTGAACACCGGAATCCTCGAACAGCAGAAGCCAAGGGTCTGTTGTCCAGGAAGATCTGGTGTTGACGTCCCTTTACCATAAATGGCCAAGTTCCAAGGTCCTCCAGCGAACACTTGTCCCACCAGCACTTCCACACACCTGTTCCCCTTAGCCCTTTAAAAACCCTTAACCCAGCCCAGCAAGCAAGATGGATTTGAGGCACCACTAGGTCCCCCATCTTCTTGGTTGGCACCTTTTCAATCAATAAACCTTTACTTACTTCAAACCCTGATGTTTTGAGTTTTGGCCTTTTGAAGCATTGGGCCCTTGGACTTTGGTTTGGTAACGCTCTCTCATTTATGCCCCCAGCTTAGCTATTCACAACATGCCTGTGACTATATCTCAGCTCCCCTGGGTGATCATGAATCTAGGCTAGAGTTTCTTAGCATGGGCAGCAAGAATTCTGTTCCCGCCCTAGCTGGTTTGGCTCAGTGGATAGAGCATCGGCCTGTGGACTGAAGGGTCCCTGGGTTCGATTCCATTCAAAGGACACATGCCCGGGTTGTGGGTTCGATCCCCAGTAGAGGAGGTGCAGAAGGCAGCCGATCATTGATGCTCTCTAATCATTGATGTTTCCATCTCTCTCTCCCTTTCCCTTCCTTTCTAAAATCAATAAAAATATATTTTTAAAAAAAGAATTCTGTTCCCTCTTGAGAGATGAGGAGATTGAATACCTCACTTGGCTGCCCAAGGACTCCCAGAAAGACACCCCAAGAGCCAGGAGTACAACCCACAGCCCACTGCTTTAGGATGTACCGAGAGCTCTTATGCCCCCCCCCCTGCCTCCCTCTCCCAGCCAGACATGGGGTCCTCTGTCCCCTACTCACCTTCCTCCTATAAGCCCCTTCACTCCATCAAAGTCAGTGTTGAGAGCAGGGGAAGGATCAATACATCCTAGACCTGCTGGTTGTGGGTTTACAAGAAGCTCATCTGAGAAGATGGGATTCAGACATTCCCCTTCCTTCTTCCTGGCTCCCTCAGTGCTGGGCCGTGTGCATCTCTTTCTCCGTTAGCCCGAAGGAGAAGATGGTGTCAGTGCATAAAGCAGACAGCTTTCAGGTATGAACTCTTCTGGTGCCCCTGGTGCTGAGAATCAGAGCTGCTGGAGACCCCAGTCTCCAGATGCTCTAGGAATAGACCAAGTTTTCTGTGTGGACTTTCTCAGCTGGTCTAAGTCAACTTCAGGAGAGAAAAATAGCGAACCTCCGCCTCACCAGGACCCGGGCTAGCATATCATGAGAGCTTTATGCTACTGGATGGCCTCAGGCACCTCATTAGGCAGAATTTCCCCTGGGGATTTTTCTGATGGTCCCTGCAGGGAAGAGATTGCAATCTTTGTTTATGGCTGGGATTATGATGCTTACGCAGCACCTCGGGACTCAGGTGTTCCGTTCCCACTTCCCTTTTACTTCAGGGACCTCCTGTGGAAGGTTGGGGCCTCGCTTTCCCTCTCCTTCATGAACTCTAATACTTAATCTTTAAGGAAGCGTGGTCTCAGACTTATGTTAGCCACCATTCCCAAGTTTCTGAAGGGAGTTTTGAGAATAGTAACAACAACAACAACTTAGATCAGAGTTGCAGGTGCTACAGAGAGAGCACCTCATACAACGTGTTTCTAGCTCAATGAGCTGCTCAGAACAGTGGAGACGCCACCACCACGAAGACCACCTGCTCTCAGCTCTCCTAAGGGCCACACAGGCCTTTGCTATATAGGAGAAGATCAAAATGTTCCATGAATAAGTAAGAAAGCACAATAACAACAACTTAGATCAGAGTTGCAGGTGCTACAGAGAGAGCACCTCATATGACGTGTTTCTAGCTCAATGAGCTGCTCAGAACAGTGGAGACACCACCACCACGAAGACCACCTGCTCTCAGCTCTCCTAAGGGCCACACAGGCCTTTGCTATATAGGAGAAGATCAAAATGTTCCATGAATAAGTAAGAAAGCACACACACTCACCTGCATGAATTCACTTTATGAACGTGTGCAGGCTCACGGTGTAACAGGAGTTGTACCTCAAGTTTTTAATCCGGGCGTTCTCCAGTGACAAAGCTGCTCTCCCTACGATCTGCTACGTGAAGATTCTAAGAAACTTTCAAAGACGTGAGCAACTGCACTTACAAGTTTCCATGGAGGCCACCTAAAATAATGCCAGTTTGCCTGGAAAAGTGCGGATTTCCACCCATTATCACTGTAATTATTAGTACACACCCTATCACTCTCAGGCGTCTGGATTTGGATAACAAATGATATAGTCACTTTAGTAAAATAAGCATAAGTCGCTACTCAGATCCTCTGGGCTCTGCTATCTCCTAGACCCCCTGGCTTCCATCCTAGTTCTGACCAAGGGAATCTCTCTTAGTCTTTTACCCTCCTTGCCCTCTTAGTTCTCATTAAAAGAATCTACTCTTCCTGGCCAATCAATACTATCTCTCCAGTCAATTTAGGCTTTAAAAATGAGAAGGGCATGAACTGCAACCTGTTTCTGGTTTATACTTAGCCCTGAGCCCTAAAGCAAAGAATTACAAACACTAGATATCTGCCTGAAATACGTGGAAGAGGAATAAAGGAAGAGGAATTACATCGGTACAAGGAATAAATATTGGTACAACTTTACATTGTAATCATTGGTACATTGTTGTATGTCATTGTATACAGCACAATAAATTGATTATTAGTGGTAGTACTTAACAAACTTGGGCATATGTATATATTTTGACTTGCAGTTTTACTTTGCGGTATATACCCAATAAAAATAAGTACGCATGTTTACCTAAAGACATGCCAAGAAAGTTCATAGCACCGTTATACATAATTGCTCCAATGTGAAAACAGCCCACATGTCAATCGACTACAGACTGGATAATAAATTGTAGGATATTAATAAAGTAGCACTCCATATAGCTATGAAAGTTAATAACATAGTACATAAATGTCACAAACCTATTATGGAGCAAAAGAAGCCAAACACCAAAACCATACTTAATGATTTCATTTACATGAGGTTCAAAAGCAAGGGCACTAATCTTTGGTGTCAGAAGTCAGATAGCTGTTATTTGTGGCTGGGAAGTCATGGGCTAGTGGCTGCAAAGGATAGTGAAGGTGCTTCAGGGTGCTTCTGAGAGGGGTTGGTTCCATGGATGTGTTCAGTTTGTAAAAAATTCATCAAGCTAATATGCTTATGTTACAACTAGAGGCCCGGTGCACAAAAATTTGTGCACTCAGGGGAGGGGCTCCCTCAGCCCGGCCTGTGCACTCTCACAGTCTGGGACCCCTCGGGGGATGTCCACCTGCTGGCTTAGGCCCACTCCCTGGGGGATTAGGCCTAAGCTGCCAGTCAGACATCCCTCTGGCAGCCCAAGAGCCCTCAGGGGATGTCCACTTGCCAGCGGGGAGCAGGCCTAAGCTGCAGTCGGACATCCTAAGCGTTGCTGAGGAGGCGGGAGAGGCTCCCACCACCACCGCTGTACTGGCAGCCATCAGCCTGGCTTGTGGCTAAGCAGAGCTCCCCCTGTGAGAGCGCACTGACCACAAGGGGGCAGCTCCTGCATT